ATTGATAAGTTTCTCAATTCAAGCAGTACCACATTCTTTCCTGTGTTAAGCGTGCATAGATGTTTTTGTTGACGTTAACATATATTAATTCGGTTGTGACATCGTATGAACTCTACAGCCGACGCTTACGCCAGATACTCAGAATTCGTGTGTTTGAGGAAACGAGCCAGTTATATGTCCATTTTTCTTTGTCTTCCCTTTTCCACTCCTCCCTTCTTCATTCACTCAGTCGTTCATTTCACGTAATCAGTCAGCGCAGTGTTACGATTTTGGAAACGAAGGAAGATATGGAGCCAGTGACTTAATGAGATATAGAGGGCAAAACTGCAGTGTAGGCAGGCCTTGCTTAATTTTATTCCATGGCTGTTTATTCATTTAATTTTTGTTATTCTCTTTCCTTTTAGCGTTATTATCGATACACCACTTGTGATTTGAAGCGACTTGGTGCGACCAGTTTTTCGCCAGTGCTTTGTGAGTTTACCGACACTGTTACCGGCCTGAGTTCGATCCGAGCTTTTCGTGCGGAGCAGTTGTGAGTGATGACTAGCGGAGTCGATCTGAGAGTTATGCACATTCAGAAGATTCGTTGATATTTAGCTTCATCCAGAAGGCCGACGAATCAATCGTCGCTTTCCAGCGTACCCAGTTCAGCACGTTGGCCTGTCGCATGTGGCTGATGATCCGGCTGCAGACGATTGGCATTGTCTTGATTTTGGCAGTGGCACTGACTGCGGTTATCGAACACAAACTTCGCAACGTAGACCCAGGTCAGGGGAATAACTTTGAACTGTAGTCCACAGTCTTATTGTCTCTGTTTATAGCCCTCGTCGGTTTGGCGCTTTCCTACGTCTTGTCGATCACTGGTCTTCTGGACGGGTTCGTGCAGTCATTGACAGAAACCGAGAAGGAGATGGTGTCCGCCGAACGAATACTGCACTACGTGAACCAGACTCCTCAGGAAAAGTGGACGGGAATACTCAGTGTATGAGCATAAGATTGAATTGAGCTTCATAAGTTCAGGATTCAGGGATGCAATTTGTCAGCATCTAGAATTCCATCTCGAAAGATTGCCTAATGGACAGAGGACCAAGGCTATTATAGAAACTTCCTGATGCTGCTACGAAGGCAACTCGGTCGAGAAATTAGATGCTCCTCACTTTACGATGTTTCGAATATACGATGGTGCGATAGCGATGCACCCTCAGTCGTTAACGATCATGAGGGTAAACATCTCACACATTGTTTACCAACGTATAATAGGTCATATGATCATAATTGTGATAAATTTGCAAAATTTGAGAGATCTGAATGACAAATACAGAGTGCTCTTGTTTTTTATAAAGAAATGTATAATGAAAAGAAGAAACAAACTGTCCAGTCAAAACTTAATGTCTTCCTAAGCTAGCCAGCGCCTGTTCCTGAACCACCTACATGAGTCGACGACCAGATGCCTTTTGTGAGTTTTGTTCGCGAACGCAAATCATCAAAAGGAAAAGAAATTGATGACCCTTTTTCTAGAACCTCCTACGAATCACCAGCTTCTAGCAACTAATGCTAACTTTTAAATTGCTAGTATTTAGTTAGTTACAGTAATTATTCATTTATTTATTAATTAAAGGACAGCAGTTATTTACTTATTTATTGATCATATATTCATACGACTTCGATGGAACGTAACCCCACTTTACGTCCATGTAGTCAGGTGAATCGTAAAATAACATTTCAGTTAAAGAACTAACGCTATAAATTAACCATACCTGACCCTTGAATTTTCGCTACAGCAAACCATATAAGCCTACTTTCTAATTTACAACAAAGAAGTTTGCTGATCAAAATGGCACAAAACGGAAGTCTGTGACAAAGTCTTAGAAAGGCCTTCAACCTGCAGTGAATCGAAAAAGGCGGATAATGATGAGTTTCTTTTAAACGAAAAAGCAACTTTTGTTAATAGGTGAGGTTAATCGCCAGCGATAAGGAATACAGTAGCACATAGCACAGAAAATATGATGCTGAGTCACGTTCCTCGGCTGTCATCTCCTTGTGGATAACCCGAGCCGTTGGCATTAGCAAAAGGTCCTTGCTTATGACGTCCGCTGTGTTAACATACCTTCAGCACTTGCCCTAGTTCTTTGTTTGCAGCGTCGTTGACAGCAGCAAGAAATAAATACAGCATAATCAGTAAGAATACTTAACAATGATGAATGCTGAGTAAAGGTATTTAGGGCTGCTTGTAAAATTTTATATGGGACTATGATGATGTACTGTAGTCTGAAGTAACGGTGGGGAGCATATAAAGTTTTGAACCGCTAATTTCCGCAGCCAGTGGACATAACACGGGCTGAGCGAAATTGATAACGACGGGTAGGAAGTAGTGAATACAAAACCGTTGTAAATAGTGCTAGACTTTCACACAGGTTCAAACTTGTAAAATGAATCAACGAGGCTATGGATCCAGGTGTTGTCAGTCGTCCGGGTCATCACCTCATCGTGTTTATTGATAGCGAGAATCGAATAATAGTTCAAGGCTCAATTCCGTAAAACAGAGCAACTCTTTCAAATAGCAGTTTTGTAGATGTCTGCTAACAGTGAATTTTAGGTTCAGCCTGA